CGAGAGAGATTTGAGACTGAGGAGAGAGGCCAGAGAAGAGAGGACGACGAGGAGAGAGAGAGAGGAGAGAGAGAGACGAAGAGAGAGAGAGAGCGGAGAGAGCTGAGTGACCTTTGTGTGAAGACGAGAGAGAGACCAGAAGAGACAGAGGAGAGACACGACACGCAAGACAGGAGAAGACCAGAGGACAGACAGGAAGAGAGACAGATGAGAGAGAAAGAATAGAGAGACACAGAGAAGACAGGGGTAGAGAGTAAAAGAAAGAAGACGGATGAGAGATGAGAGGAGGAGAGAGAGACAGGAGCGAGAGAGGGGGATGGAGAGAGATAATATTTAGAGAGCAAGAAACAGACAGACAGAGAGACAGACAGACAGACAGACAGGACAGACAGTAGAGAGAGTTGAGAGAGAGAAAAGATGACCGAGAGTAGGAAACAAGGGCAGAGAAGAGACGAAAGAAGGACGAGAATGGAGAGAGGGGGGCGGAGAGGGAGCGAGCGGGAGAGAGGAGAGAGAGAGAAGAAGCAGATAGAGAACACGCCAATAAAACAACACGCTACAGTGCTGAGATGTATACGATTTTCGTCTGCGTTCATTTTAGTTTGTAAACCGCACAAGCACAAGACGATTCTGCCTTGTTTGTTCGTGAAAAGATTAGCGCCATCAGGACTAGCAGCCGTTTGGTTTCACCACGCACGCGTTTCCCCGGCGCGATTTCCTTTGTAAAAGTCAAGCGGTCGTCTCTCTGTAGCTAGCAGCGAGATGGAGGAGACGAGGCGCTGAGATGCGAGGGGGAGGAATTGGAGTAGCGGGCGGGAAGGATAGCGAGTCGAGAGAGGAAGCGGGCATGGCTGTTGGGACGGAGGGAGGAGGGAGGGAGGGGGGAGGAAGAGCAGCTTGAGAGACGAATGAGAAGAAGAGAGAGAGGAGAACAGTACAGACAGAGAGACGGAGGTGTCCTACGGGGGAAAATAAAATCTCGTCTGCCGCGTGCTGTAACCGTTAATTATGCGCGGCACCGTTTCTCGGCCGTCGTTGCTTAGTCATTTTTCCTCCCTTTAAACGACTGTAAAACGAATGTTCGAGTTTCCCGCGACTTGATACTGTGAGGATTGTTACGCTTGGCAGTTATCGGCCTGTTGCGTATGAAGTGTACAGGATGCTAGTCAGAAAGTCTATATCAAGTAAAAATTGTCGGTTGCTAAAAGTGGTAAACCGTAGAAAAGGCAGACGCTATAATATGCTTCTCTATTCTATTTATATATTTTAATCGGTTTCTCTCATATTTTTATTTGTCGTTTTTATGGAATCTTCGGAAAATTGAATTGAGCTTTATAGAACTTTATAAAAACATCTTTTTGTGTAGCATCCAACATGCGTGCTTTTAACTAAAAAGGATCTTCAGGCGGAATAGATATTGATGCTATACTGCCCTAGAGGCCAGCGCGCCACGCTTTCGTGTTTTTAAAACATAAAATCGATCGTAGGACTCGGCATCTGTCAAGACCATACATGATGGACTAGATACTGGCTTAAATGCTGCTAAGGAAAGTGGCATCCTCTGTTTGCACTGTGATAAGCAGATTCACTTAACTGATTTTTTGTTGTTTACTGGCAAGCATAGTTGATCATTGCAACTGAAGTTCATTTATCCACGTTAAAAATTCTTCATTCTGTAAGGCCATAACTTAAGTTATTGTGCTTCAATAATTGTCCGACACTTTACTTGCGACCGTTTTTACGATATGCCTAGTTTTTCCCAGCCATCGTTATTGTTCTCATGAAAAGTGCGCGAGTGCATATCGCTATATGCGCAACATCATATCTTGATAACGTATCATATATTATTATATCGCCTAGTTTATTATTTACACGACTGATGCCTGGGGAGCGATGCTGCCTTATTCGCCGGAGCATCCCGGACCGCGTTGTGTAAAACGGTGACATTAATTTGATGTGTTAGCACATATAATATATCGATCAATTAAGTGTAAGTATCAGTCATTTAACGCGGTGAAGAACGTCCTCCGTTTAAATAAATAAATAAATATATATATATTATATATATATATATATATATATATATATAAGAAGAGAGAGGAGACGAGAGCCGCGATCTGGCGTAGGGAGAGGGGAGAGGGAAGAGAGGGACGAAGCGAGGAGAGGGTCGAGACGGGATTCCAGAGACGAGAGAGAGAGACGAGAAAGACGAGAGAGAGAGAGAGATGAGAGAGAGGAGAGAGAGAGATGAGAGAGACGATGGAGAGAGAGAGATGATGATGAGAGACGAGAGAGGAAGTCAGAGTAGAGTGTGGGAGAGAGAGGAGAGGGCGGTGCGAGAGAGAGCAGACGTGCGTGAGAGAGATGAGGCGGAGATGAGCATGAGAGCAGAGAGGGAGAGAGAGAGAGAGAGAGGGGGGGGGAGAGAGCTGCTGTATCAGATATCCCTACGTCCGATGAGGCTATTTGTCTAGGATTCTGGTCAATATTTCTAATATGCCGCCGAATGTCAATATTGGATTTCGAAGCTGGAGTACGGCGCGTGCCGTTGTTATTGTGGTCGTGTGCTTTTCCCTTATTGTTTGTATCAATGTAAGGGCACGCCATCTCTCTCTCTCTCTCTCTCTCTCTCTCTCTCTCTCTCTCTCTCTCTCTCTATCTCTCTCTCTCTCTCTCTCTCTTCCTTTCTCTCCCTCCCGCCATCTCTCTCTCTTTCCTCCTTCTCTCTCTCTCTCTCTCGCTTTCTGTATCTTTCTCCGAATGCATGGCTCTCTCCGAATGCATGGAAACTGTAGTTCACTATAAACATGATTAAATGAAGAGCACAAAGTGCGGGCGCGTAGCGTAATTTCATCGAGTCAGGAAATTTGCACTTGTCGCAGGATGTTATTGTCTACCGATCTCTGATTTGTGTCGAGATTGCTCTGCCCTTTTGGGTTCAGCGTGGAGTTGGCTGTACATCGGCTGTTTAGCCGAGCAGCTTATGGGCTTGTAGGGAATTGTGAATCTCTAGACGACGTCTGAGCACATTCGTCACCGTGAATAGGAAATTGTCGTTTGTGTTTGTTGAAAGTGCTCACAACTGTCTCAATAGGTGCTTCGGGGGGAAAAGGTGGCTGTGTGTAAGATCAAGATTCTCTCGTTACGGTGATAAAAATCAACACTCGCCTCTCAAATAATGCTGGGATTGTCATCATCAGGTCGCCTAGGATGCGAGGATTTGTTTGCATAAGTAAACAAATGACCAGTTGAATCACGGGTTAGAGTGCTGCGATTGTACCAATACAATTCGTTTACCTTTTCCTAGAACCACGTTACATTTTTTTGCCAGCTAGTATGAAAACCTCTTCAATCTATACTTGAAACTGCCAGGAACTGCCTGGAAAAACGACTTGCAGTCGTTTCCTAAAATTATTTGCTCCGAGTATGCATGCATTTCAACGCATAATAGAGCATAATTTTAGTGTCAATTTTCATGATCACGAATCTCAAACTTTGGCAATTTATGTGATAAGCTGGGCCTCTAAAATATGAGCTGCATGGACTCCTAATATTTTTTTACTTTAGGGGGCCACAGTCAGGTACTACCTTTTGTACAGGTTTTCATCACTGTGTTAATTGTCATCGGTCTGTGTTTGTATTGTTGGCAGTGCCACTCGAAAATATAAATAACTAGAGCACTCGGAGAGCACAGACCTCCGCCAAGGCAGCTGAATTCTCTCAATGTGAAATTTTTTATTAATTAATTAAGTGGAAAAATTAATTAATTAATTAATTAATTAATTAAAATTAATAATTCAATTGGATCCGGATAGTGCGAGCGTGCAGGTGCGGAGGAACCTGTGGTTTGCCCCGTGTTTGTAAGTCTACAGCCAGCGCACCTAGCGGAAGTGAACTGAAACGTGCATGTTAACAAACCCACAAACCCACAAACACACAAACCAGCACTCAAACACACGCCGGTGAAAACATAACCTCCGCCAAGCCCCTGGCGGAGGTAACAATTCTCACCCAATCTATGCGAGATTGCGAGTAGTTGAAACTGGCAGAGTAACATTCTTTAGGGGACATATATTGATTACATTCTCTAGGTCTTGATTGTTACTGCCTATTTATCACAGTCAACCATGACTTGGAGGTCGCATCTACGTAATGCTCTGTGACGAGTGTGTGTTTATACAGTGAAACCATCTCTATAGAATGGTCACCTGTCAGTAAAGGGAAATTTGGGTGTTTACCCCTAAGAGACATTTAACTAGTAACCTGTCTAGAAATGCTGCTATTGAAATTTACATAGAGTGACTTTTATATACATGTCTGACTGTATTTTCGTATAGTGGTAGCATTGTCTTTTCCTCCACCACTGTAACCATTTAATATCATTGTCGTTGTCATCATCATAATCGTCGTTCATCACCATCACCGTCATCATAATCATCGTCATTATCATCATCGTCATCATCATCATCATCATCATCATTTGTCATCACCATCATAGTCATCATCTTCATCATTGTTGTCGTCGTCGTCATCATCATTTTCATCATCATCATTGCCATTATCATCATAATCATCATCATCATCATCGTCGTCAGCAACATTGTGTTCATCATCATCATCATCATTGATCATCATCTGCGTCATTGTCGTCGTCATCATCATCATTGTTGTCGTCATCATCGTCGTCGTCGTCGTCGTCGTCGTCATCATCATCATCATTGTCGTCGTCGTCATCATCATTGTCCGTACATGTTGATGATTTCTACTTGCAGGCACAGAAGGAAGTCATCGGCTAAAGGAAGTTGACCATTTGTTGCCTTCTCTCTGCGGTTACTGTAAGTACTATATGTACCAGCTTCCAATTGACCTATCCGTCTCAATGAGATAACCATGCTCCCCTTGTATTGCTATTGTATGGAAATTTGTTGTTATAGGTCTGTCCATTAAGTTAGACTAGTTTGTGTGTATTCTTCATGCGCGAACGCGAAATTCTTGACTTCGTTCGACATTCTCCGTTGCCAAGCGTTGTCTTTGAGAACATATTCGATCACAACTAAAATTAGGTAGAGCTAATTAAGCTCAGTGATGCCGGGTGGACACGTCAAATACTGCAGAGCTATTCCGTGGACTATGGCTATTATGTTCATGGTAGCGATGAAAGTAACATTTTTAAACTTTGAGAGATCATAAGGACATAACATGCATATATTGTTAATAAAAAGAAACTCGTTAAACACGATTGCCATCTGGGAGGCGATTTTTACTTTACGTTAGAACAATCAACACGTGCACGTGCTACTTTCCTAAAATCAAGAGCGTTTGGCACCCTTTTTGAAGACGACTACAGTACTTATAATCAGAGCCTCTCACAAGGTTTAGTTTTTATTTGAAGCAGTTAGACACAACAGTGCTAATACTTGTTTTCGCTGCGCACGATGAGGGTACATACATGTTTTTCACAAGTCGTGCGCAGTACTTAGCGCACACCATGCTCCGTTGCAAAAAAACCAGCTCGATCGCGTGCGAGCAAAATTCAGCCATGTGCGGCCGGCTTTAGGGATAAACATTTCATTGGTGAGGATTCAGCTTTCCGGAAGGAAGGGTAATAACTCTGCGCTTTACTCCGTAATCGTATGATTGAAAATGAAGGGGAAAATGTGATCAAGACAAATGATTTGTATGGTATGAAAAGAAAAAAGTGCAAGACTGCGTACGTGTTATCCAGAATCATTATTTAAGCATATTAATGTTTATATTAACGCTACATGTGTGTTTAATATGTTTGGTATAATTATCAATTTATACATATATAGGAAGCATCAATATTAGGAACGTATTAAAATTTGCTGCGTCTTTATGTTATACCGATTTCTTTTGCAGGTGCAGACCATGTTTGGGGGACAGGAGAAAACGTTTCATCTAAATGTCTAGGTAGGTGACTATATAATTTTCAGATCAAATGCAGGTCCCGTCCGGGCCGAATTCCTTTGATGGGGGGCAATATTTCATAACTCGGCATAATTTAGTAATGAATGACTAGGGAAGACGTATATTATAGTATACATAAAGCTAACGATATTAATACCTATCCAGAAGCGTCTGGCAGCACTGTCTTGTATGCAGTATAGTTTGTTTCTAAAATCTGGGATAAAGTGCAGTAACATTGTTTCTAAAATCTGGGATAAAGTGCAGTAACATTGTTTCTAAAATCTGGGATAAAATGGTGATTTACCTGCAGGCATATATGTGACAATATTATTCATTGCATGCACTTAATGTGCTTCATATATATTTGGGGTTCGTGTCAGAGCCTCTTAAAGGAACTTCGTCCTGGTACTTTAGTCGCTTCCGGCTAAAGGCCGCCGCACACCAGCCGATTTTTCACGCGATTTGATCGGCCCGATAGAAATCAGCCGATATCGGGTAGGTGTGCGCGTTCATTTGTAGACGATTTTATTTTTATCGGGTGATCGTTCCAAATCAAACATGTTTGATTTTGAACCGATGAGCCGATTTTACAAACGATGAAGCGATGAAGCGATGAAGCGATGTAGGTGTGCGGTGGCCTTAAGTCTATGCAGTATAGTTTGTTTCTAAAATCTGGGATTAAATGCAGTAACATTGTTTCTAAAATCTGGGATAAAATGGAGATTTACCTGCAGGCATATATGTGACAATATTATTCATTGCATGCACTTAATGTGCTTCATATATATTTGGGGTTCGTGTCAGAGCCTCTTAAAGGAACTTCGTCCTGGTACTTTAGTGGCTTCCGGCTTAAACTGTGCTTTTAAACCTAAGCTCTGGTGAGAAGTCACAGGTACAAAAAACTGCTCGAGGTTATAGGTTTTCTCCAAGCTATTTTTCCTAACAAGTGTAACTGTTGCTGGACCAATGGTGTAAATAAAGTTTATTTAAGTTTATTGTGTTTAGCGTATCTAATATTGTTCCCGAGATATAGCACCGCTGTCACTCATGTAAGTTACTGCCTCAATAAGATTACTGGCATGGTGCGAAATATCGGCGAAACGCGATTTCGGCGTTTTCTTGCAGGTAACATGGGGACGGTGCCCTTTTTTCAGTTCCCGTTTCAAGCATATAACATTCACTTATAATTAAGTCCATGTTTTCGCGCGCAGACGCACACTCACGCACACGCGCGCACACACGCACACACACACACACACACACACACACACACACACACACACACACACACACACACACACACACACACACACACACACACACACACACACACACACACAAACACACGCAAACACACGCAAACACACGCGCACACACACGCGCGCGCTCACGCACACGCAGTTTTTACTGTAATTTGTGATTGTAATTGTTTCAAATTAGTTGCATTAATTACTTGAAATTACACTTTTAATTGATATTTGAACTATTTATTAGCATAATTGCTACCACTAAAATCTACCGCTTATACTCCAAAGGTCGACGTTGAAGTGCGTGTCGCTGAAGGCAAATTATCCACCAGGGGCCTCTTATAATTATTACACCTCGTAAACATGCGAATGGCGGCTCGCGGGTAACCAATCATGCGTGTAAAACACGCGCAATGTTTGCTCCCCATTCATGCGATTGCGCGATTATCCACGTGGGGGCAGCACCGTCAAAAGCACTAAGCGCACAGAAATGCAGCCGTGTTCACGTAGGCGCAGTGTTTGAGGAAGAGGGCGCATGTATTCATTCATAAATGTTTCACTCGCGACTGTTGCTCTGTGCTGTAACAAATACTGCCTTATTTATGAGATCGATCTAAAGTCCATCGTCTCGCGCTAGACGTGAGTGGGGCTAGCTGCTCTGTCGGGGAGCCTGCATGCATGTGTAATCACACACTATAGTGTAGAACGCCGATAGAAAAATCCCAGAATCAATCACGTTAAAGTTTTAATCGCTTTCTGGTAACGTTGCTGATACTCTATACGTATGTAGTAAGTGCTGTTAGGTTAGTGTGTGTGTGGGGGGGGGGAGATTCACAGGCTACTACTATTGATGATTTTCGACAGTTAGTGCCTTCGATCACCACAGTAAAGTCCCCTGTAATTTGGAAAAGAGGCATCATAAACCTATCATTTTGACATTTGTCAACCACTTGCTCTGGTTTCAGTCGTGATTCGTCCACCGTTGTTCACACAGTTGAATGGGGGCAGTCCACGTACTAACTACAAGACGGGTGCTTGTTCCACGTCTAAATCTTTTAATTTCCTGTGTACATTCTCTGGCATATTACGCCAACTCGCTTTTCTGAGAAACCCTGGAACATCCTCATTGGAAGTAGTGCTGTTTGTTTCGTCTAGCGGATCATAAGAGTATGAGGCGATATGTAATAAGGCTGAATAATAATTTCCTGCCTAGCTAAAATTACAGACGTATTATTAATTAATGTAGTAATTTTACTGTGCTGCGCGGCGCATGCACGTCGACGTGCCTGCCTGCAGGCTGCGACCTCTTATGTTACTGCCTCTGCCTGCGTGTCTTCTAACTAAGTAATGCACGAGAAATGGCGCGAGATAAGGATCCCGTGGCTGTGCTCTGGTGATCATGCTTTCAATGTTAGCATATTTATTTAATGCATGATTTTAAGTTAATGGACGTATATCAAGACTACTGCATGAATTAATAAGGATACTTATTCTTCAAAAAGCCTCTCTGTGTACCATATCGACATGCCAGTCAGTTAATCATTCCGCTCTTCTTGAATATGCCCGACAATCTTTAATGGTATTCACTTAGCAAATCAAAAGTATCGTATTACAAATGAACCATATATGTTATATAAGTATTAAAGTGATTACGTCACCGTAAATAGTAAAAAATAAAAAATATATTTCCACTTTTTCACAAAATATAAGTAATTCTGTTAACTT